CTCTCTGTGTGTGTGTGTGTGTGTGTGTGTGTTGGTTCATGAGCAAAAAAGAAACCCAGAATCACAGATTTGAATAAAGCCTATATCAGAACTAGCTAAAATGCCACAAAAGTAAGTAGGCTTTTGAGTTCTCCAGAAGTCATGCCAAACGTTGTGGTCAAAAGCTCTCCAGTGTAGACCCAATTGAATGATGATGGAAGGTAGTGAATTAATTAATGCAACCCTTGGTAGGGTATTTTTCCCCCTAAATGTTGCCTAGTCTCTGAAGAGTTTTTGGAGGACTCAGAAGCCTGTACGTTCTGCTTGTGACTTTTTGATTGATGTTCATAAAGAGATAGTCCAACTGCAGATTTTGGATTTCTTTTAAAAATCAAGTGTGCTGTTTATATACCGCCCCATAGCAAGTTAATTATGTAGGCCCACACACACCCACACACCCAGTGATCTGGGTCCTCATTTTACTGACCTTGGAAGGATAGAAGGCTGAGTCAACCTTGAGCCGGGTACCTGGGATTGAACCCCGGTTTGTGAGCACAGTTTTGGCTGCAGTACAGCAGTTTAACCATTGTGCCACAATGTACATTTTATGTACCATGAGGTACATTTAGATACATTTCTAAGGACATATGCTGTATCCACTAATGTCTCCGTATTTTTCAGGAGAGACAGGAATCTTCAGAAGACAGTAATTTATTATTTCGTTAATGCTTATTGCCTATCTGTAAATCAGTTTCCCTGATAACCTGTGTATCGAGTGCAGCACGCCCACACTGCCCTAGCTTTGCAACTGAGATTTCTTGTTTGTTTTGGGCTTTGTATTCTGACAGTGGTGAATTCATTTTCTTGAAAAAAAAATCAGGGCATATAAAACAAAGCAAAAACATGCTCCAACCCTTTTGGCTTGTTTTTATTAAATTGTTGGAAAGTAACAAGCAGCATCATTATTTTCAAGATGTTGCTTTCAAGCACTAGACGAGAGTGATTTTCATGGAATTATTGGATAGAGTTTCACAATTCGTCTCTCTTCATTGCCTCAGTCATGCACTTGAAGATGCTCTTTTTGAAAGTTCTGACTTCAGTCCATCCTGAACATAGTTATTCACCTCTGGTCAACTGTGACACACACACCCCCCCCATTTAATCATTTTTATGTCTGATTGTAACTAGTTTTACTTGGCCTTGGGCTGCTGAATGATCTTCTCTGCAATAGCACCACAACTCTGTGATCTGGTTGTACATAACCTCACTGGATACAGCAAGCTGGGGGAAGCAAAAAGATATGCATCTGAATATATGCTGATAGAGGTGGACATGTGATAACCAGCAGAGGAAGGAGTGTTGGCTTGGTTCTTGTACCCATTTCTTTGTGCACTGTCAGCAGTGTGAGAATGTTGTCTTCAATTACTCTCCTTCCAAGGGTCACACTGATTGCTGGGCAGCTTTCTAGTTTGGAGTTCCTCACTTTTTGAGTCGTCCCCCCACTTTTAGATTCAGCTAGGACCAGAGGCTGATAGGTGTCACTTATAGGTAAATTGACTGGGGAATTCAGGTACCTGGCAGGGCAGTCTTTGCTCCTCACACTAGTCCCTTAAATAAATTTTCTAACAGAGATCAGAGAATATCTGAGCCTCCCGTTGAGCTTGACACTTAGGGCAAATAACACTGGTAGTACCCCCACTGCCATATAACCTGCTCAGCTATGTAGTCAAGGACGTTTTAAAAAATGCACAATATAGTATATCTTCAGGGCACATCGTCAAGAGGCAGCCACAAACTGTATTATGATTTCTTTCAGTGTAGCCTTATACAGAGAGATTTGTTGTAGAGTCATATCCCTGAGATCTGACCTCATGGCTGCCTTTCCCCCCTTCTTTTTGGAAGGGAGCCATTGACTTCAATCCTGATCCCATCGGCAGCAAACACAGCGATTTTTCTCTGTTAAGGCCTCCCCCTCTCCGTTCCCAGGGCAAAAGAGAGTCTTGGGGAGCCTTAGAACTAGAGTGAGGGGAATAGGAAGCTTTCAGTTCACTTAAATTAAATGTTTATGATACTGGTTTACATGGGTATAACTTTATGCAACAGGATTTTGCCATCTGATTTGTATTTATGGAACCAAATGCCTTCTCAAGTGAAAATGCTTATAACATAACATAACATAACGTAAGTGTGAGCTTCTTGACTGATTCCTCTCCAGAAAGATTACTTCATAAAATTCAGAATAAATCTTGTGTGTAGTTGCATATATTTTGTAGGTTTTAGAATATTGATGACTGTTTCATTAAAATGATTGTCCCCTGAACATATTAAAAATCAGGGTGGATAAAAATCAATGTTTTTTTTAAAAAATCAAATTGATTTTAACCCCAATTTAAATCATATTCATCCTGTCAAAAATATCTGTGTGGGACAGATATCTCAATTTTGATATTGATCTAAAAGTTTTCCCATTACTGGGAGTTTAAAGAAGCAGAAAAGTATAAGCAATGTGGTCTAATGTTGTCTACCTAACCTTATTGTCAAAGAATTAATCCAGGCTATTAAAACAATTTCACAATGTGTTGAAAACAAAACAAAAGCAAAGATGCTGCAAAAAAGGAAGGTTATTACTGCTTATTATGGGGCAGTGCAATTTGTCTGGTCAACTGTGGGTTACGTCTACACTTACGTTCTTCATGAATGAATCCAGTTCATATCAATAGGTTAGTCATCATTAATGTAATGCTTATGGTGCTCTGGAAGGTTTCCCAGTGCTGCAGAACAGATACTGAGAGCATGTGGGGATGTGTTGGGTGGGTGAGTGGATGGGACTCACCTCTTCCTAATTTCTTATTCTGTCTTCTCAAGTACCACACCTTCGATCCCAGCGTCCGGTTGCAGAGTGGAATATAAATTGATAAGGAATAAAATGTTTAAAGACCTTCAATGCATTTGTTGTGAGGTCAGAGGAGGACTTGTGCAACATTGCTCGTTTTGAAATAGCAAAGAAGCCATTGAGCTAGATCTGTGTTTTGAGTTTTCAGCCTATCTAGATTTTTTACATTTCTTTTCATTTGAAATGTAAATAAAATGCAGACATGGAGGCACACACTGTGTTTGGACTATTAGTTTTGGTTAGTATGTTATTGGATTTGAGATAGCAATCTAAATGTATTCCTATTCATATCTTTTTTAAAAAAATTAATGCAGAAAGCTATGTTTATCTTCACTTTTCAGAAGTGTAATGTGGCTTTTAAGGTGCTGGATAAAAAGTGCCTTCCAAGAATGTTTCTTCACACTCTAGCTGCTAAAGTCTGGCATACTATCAGTGAATAATTTTGGAATTCAAATATGTTGTGAATGGGTTGTCCTCTTGGTGGATGGCATTAAACTGAAGCCAATCAACTAGGAGGTTATTTTTGCAGAAAGGTACTTAATACCTGAAATATGGGGTTTTTACAATCTTTTATTTTTTTTTCATTTTCATCAAGTAGTTATCCAGGGTGATCATTCCACATGAGGCAAATCAAAATCTTGCAGGATTTGCTGCTGAGTTCTTATTCATGTGAGATTGTCACACTGGTATTTCCAGGGTAGAAGATGACATGTGACTCTTGTGACTTGTGTAGTTGAGGTGGCCCAGAGAACCATGCCAGCTTGATTGATCTTAACACAGTTGGTTTTTAGCTCACTTTTTAGAGTATCTGTCCAGTTAGACATAATCTGAGAGATGGAAATTGGTTTGTTTTGCTTTACAGTACTTTTTTTAAAAAAAATCTACTGGTCCAGAATTTTTATTCACTTGGGTTTCACTTGCAGTCTTGCAAAAAAGGAACAAATGTATTCTCAGCCCTTTGTCTTAGCCCTGTCCTATAGGATAGTTTTCTCCACCTTAAATTTAAGAAATAAAAGACATCTGGGAGATTTTGTTTTGTTCTAATTTTTGCACTCACTTTTTTGTCCCACTTGAGGCAAATTCATTGCTGATGCTTTCCTCGCCCATTTTTAGTATGCTTACAACTGTGGAGAACTTAGCCTGGTACAACAGGTTTTTGCTTAGAGCAGTCATTCTCAGTGGGGGCCATATAGCCCCCTGGGGACCACAGACTGGAAACAATTCTTCACGCACCACCTTAGAAGGTTCGTTATGTGACTTATACAATCCTGATTTAGCCTATATTTCTAACATATTGTGTTTATGGTCATGGCCAAAAATTGTTGAGAATGGCTGGCCTAGAGCACACCTGCTATATATATATCAGGAGAATGTTTCTCACAAATACACGAGAAATACTCAGAGTATCTCTGTGTGAAGTGATTTTATTTAGCAAGTGTTGTTTTAGATGATTTCTTTCTTACTTGATTCCACATATTGATGTTCCCTCTGGTCCCACTCTATCCTCCTACTTCCTGTTCTATAGTGGACAATTCTTTAAAACAGGTATAAAGTCTAGTTATTCCAGTCTTTTTCTAGAGAGATAATATCTGTATAAATTCTTGTCTACTTGTTGCTTTTGGCTACTCAAACTGTGCCATTCATGTAAGTAAAATAAAGTAGGGTATGCTCAGTTCCAGTTTGTGATAGAACTGCTTGGGCAGCTGAAGTGGATGAAAATAATACAATAGGCATTTTTATATACATCAATTTCCTTAGATCTAAGAAGGACTAGGCCACCTCTTCTAGACATTGTTATAGTTTAAAAGAAGCTAACATAGTCAACATAGTTGTACATTTTTCATGGTTTAATGAATACAACAGGATACCTTCTGTTTGAATAGGTATTCCTCTGAAATATAACTCATTAATATTGTTTTTTTTTAAAAAAAAATCATATATTGTTAGATAATTAAAAAAAAAACAATGTCTGTGCCTGGTCACACAAATCTTTTAGGGTCATAGAGTTATGTGTACTTTATGTAGGGTTCTCTGTAACCAGAGTTTGTGCTTTTTTGGTACAGATTGCTAAAAGAAATCAAGCAAAACTCACCTACAACCTTTTCTTTGCTATTTTCTTCCGTTTTAGATTTATTCCCTGAAAGCTTCCAGGCTGAGGCTTGGAAAACCCAGCCGTCACCATTGAGCCCAGCAGCTGGAGCGGCAGCGAGAGTCCTGCCGAGGACATAGAAAGAATGAGCGATTCTGCAGATAAACCTATTGATAACGACGCAGAAGGTGTCTGGAGTCCAGATATTGAGCAGAGCTTTCAGGAGGCACTAGCTATCTATCCCCCATGTGGAAGGAGGAAAATCATACTGTCAGATGAAGGCAAAATGTATGGTAAGTTCTGCAGATCGTGTCATTTTGAAAACAGTGCCTTCCACCTTGATGCGGAGGCAACAGGCCAGAGTGTGCTTTTTAAATAAATAAAATTGCCACGAATGCTGATGAAGTTGGGTATTGTTTGCTCTTTTTTGTATCAGAAAGGGGAGATTAAATATAATCATACTGCTTTGATCTACTATAGTGCTACAGAAAAATCCCAGCCAATTTAGTGGTCTAAAGAATCCTTTCAGAGAATCAGTTGTAAAACAACACCATATACGTTAGGTCGTATTTGTGCCCCATTTGCCTTGTTGTCTGTGACTGAGCTTAAAAATGATCTGAAACACGTGCAAAGTGATCTCTCTCTCTCTCTCTCTTTTTTTTTGCAACAAACTGTGATTTTATGTTAATCCTAAAATTTTCACCAACAGCATCAAACGGTTTCCAAATTTTTCCAGGGTGTTCAATGAGTATGTAGTATTTATGTATAAGAAATATATGAGTGGTTTTAAAACAGAAACTTGAACTTCCATGCAACAATGTGTTCATGAGAGATCATGAGATGTATAAAGAATTGCATTCTGGATATATATCAATTTTTGTAGTTTCCTGACTTCCAGAGTCAACTTCAGGGAGCAACTGCAAAACCTTTCCTTCCAACTTTTGGTTGCTATAAATTATCAGATGCGCTGACAGTATTTCATAAATATATTTGATGTTTATCCCATCTAGAGACCAGTTGCTTTTACTTTTTGTTCTTTCCAAGTTGCTGCAGCTAATCTCTGACTTTGGAGACTTAAGCTGCTTTCCCCCACACCTCCCTCAAGCCTTTCCCTTTCCAATATATATATATGCTGACTGCAGAGTTTTAGCTCTGGCTTCTTGTATTGTGTGAAGCAGATGGCAGGTTGCTGTTCTACTCTTTATCCTCTTCTAATCACTGAGTGTTTAGTGATTTTGTCCTTTGTGCAGTTGGGCTTTCCAAGCGATAAGGAATCCTTCTTACCTGATGAATCCTTTTCTGAGCGCTAGAGAACAACTCAGTGCACCACAATTGCAAATATGTTTCACACAAGGGGGTGTTTTGTCTGGAGACGCAGGCTCTCTCTCTTTCCCCCCCAAAAGGATCAGTAGGAATCTGCAGAGCAAAGTAGCATGCACTGTAAGTGGAAAGCAGATGGTGCTGCAGCTGCCACCAGCTGTGTACCCCCCTTCTTCTCCCCTCAGTTCTGGCTGGATGATGTAATGGAAACAAGGGGGAATTTTTCCCCCTCTCTGTGGTGTTGGAGTCTCTCACAGCCTGTCAGTGTCACAGAGAGGCAGAAACAGACCTTAAGGCGTTAGTTTGCAGCTGTCATGTGACCCTTGAAGCCAAATGAAACATAATGTCTGGAAAAAGAGGCTTGTGATGAAGCATCTCAGCTGCTCTTGGCTGAAACTTTCTAGGCCTTTCTTCTGCTGAACTCGCCCCCCCCCCTTCATTTGTATTAAACACCACTGTTTTCCTTCTTCCCTTGCCACCCGCTTCTTCACCCTGGTGTAGTTTTCTTTCTTTCTTTTCCCGGATTTTGTTTTGTTTTGTTTATGTGATTGGTGGCAGTGGTTTCCCATAATGAATGTCAGGAAATTAGTATAATGTGGTTGTTACATGTCCTGAAGAAGGATACAGAAAAATTGTGCAAATATGATTAAGATTCAGTTCAGGACTCCAAACCCTTCTCTCCCTTCTCATGTATTGTTGAAAGTGAAATATGCTTCTTGCATAAGACGCTTTTTGATGGGTCATATATATCTGTAAGAGTATTTTTTCTTAGTCTTCCTAACAAGGATCACAGAGGCGTATTATGAACACACATCTCTGTACAGCCGTATCTATGTTGCCAAAAAAAAGTGATGGGGAGGGGCAAAGTGATAAAATAGTACTGTGTAAAATATGTCAGTTGATTATATTAAGCATGTGTTTTTTATTTCAATAGTACCACATAATGCAGAGTGTTTTTTTAAAATCCATCTTTAGATGTTGAGTTTGCATACTGTGTCAATTAAATATTGAGATTGTAGCTGAACTTTGATTTAAGGTACTGCCTTAGTTTGGAGACAGAGAGGGAGTAGTATTCTGGGGAAATGCAGAGGGCTGTGTTAGTAGAATTTATATCCTGACTCTCCCTCATTGGATGAACTCATGTTTTCATTCTTCAAGCTGAGCACTGCTTTGTAATGTTTGAGGATTTATTGAACCCATGCTATGTTTTTGAGGACTTTATAATAGTGTCTTGTGGCCCTAATAGCATAATTGTTCTCCAAGGAACTGGAAATCACAACATCATAAGTGTTTTAGATTCCATGCAGAATAATAGTAATAAAAAAAGCATACCTTTTGCCAGCATACTATATTTACAGCAGAGACATTACTTTATTTCAAAGTTTCCACAAAGTCATAGGTGTATATTGTGATTTGACAGCCACTCATGAACTTTGCAAGTTAGACAGTCAAAGATCATATCAGTCCAATGTCTGTTAGAAATGGCTTTTGAACAGGCTAAAATTTGCAGCAGATTATGGGAAACAGAACGGTAGCTGTTGGGGAAGATTTATATTTTGCTTGCAGGATGAGCTACAGAAAGGCAATCCCGTCATTGTTATCTTTCAGCCACCATGATTTTTTTTTAAAAAAACTTTCATTGTGGTGTATTTTGACCTCATGAGAATTCCAGTTTATTGATGGTTGGTAGTGGGGCTAGCATTGTTTTTACACTTAGTGGATTTTTTTGATGTATACAGCTTAAATATTTTGAACCTGCTTGGAACACCAATATTCTACCCACCCACCCAGATAGGAGCCAGGTTACTATTAAACATAATATGTCAGTTTTTCTTTTCTGCACTGTGGTGTGTCCCCACACCCCACCCAATAAGTGCTATGGGACATTTTTGACCCAGTGGGTTACAGTGGCTAGACAAAAATATAACAATTAGAGAGCTGGTGCCAACTTCCATGAGTGAGATATGCTGGAAAAAGTGTTTCTGTGATCACAGAAATGGCTTCTGTTTCCCCAGATATACATACTGGATCACATGGCCTTTTCTAGACAGAATTGAACCTAAGGCTATGGAGGAAAAACCTTTGGTTATAGAATCAGAGTTCAGACCACTTTTCGAGGCTTGTGAGAGCATGGTGGTTAGAGGCAGCTTAAGAGTAGAGCCCATCATAAAATTTATGTATTTGCCTAAACAGCTAACCAACCATCTAGGCTTGTTCCATGTTTTCTTGGAATTGATGCACAAAGAAAAACCCAGCACAATCCCAAAACAGTATGGGACATGTATCTTGTTTGACTGGTTGTTGTAAGGCATACGCAGGCATGCTGATAGAGATAAACAGATAGAGAGGTGATCGCCATTTCTGTGAATGTAGTTGCTTTTCCTTTTTTTCAGGAGAAATGGTAGCTGGGGTATATTTAAATGTCTTGACTTTGCCTGAATGATGGCACCGATAGTCAAGAACAAGTTGGTCTTCAGAATAGCCTCTCGCTTAACATCAGGTAGGAAACATGTAGGCCACATATAGTCATGTCTTAGCTTCTAGATAAAAATGAAAAATTTCAAATTACAATCTGTTGCCTTGTAATGTGCTCCTATTATTTTATCCCTCAAGTTTTATCTCAAATATCCTAGATATATTATTGACAGAAAACAGCTATGATTTGAAATGACTGCTGATGAATACTGAAGAAGACGGTACAAACAAGATTACACTTAGACATTTAAAAAAAGTCATGACTACAGAAGGATTATGTAATTTTAATGTTGACAGTGAAGAAATAAAAATTGTTAAGGTTTTTCTGTACATTGTTCATCAATCCAAATTGAGATTACAGCTTTAAAAAGAATGACAGGAAGATAAGATACATGAAAGGGCAGCTAGGCATGGATTAGAAAAGATCCTTAAGAGTAATACAGTGGTGCCCCACTTGACGATGATAATGCGTTCCAGCAAAATCACTGTACAGCGAAATCATCATCAAGCAAAAGTAAAAAACCCATTAGAATGCATTAAAAACCGGTTATTGCGTTCTAATGGGGGAAATACCTCATCGTCCTGCTAAGATCCTCCATAGGGCGGCCATTTTCCGGTGCCTGTAAAGCGAGCAATCAGTCCTAAACACAGCTGGGAGCCATTTTGCACAGCGGGTGGCCATTTTGCGACCCGCCGAT